CCCAGGTGAGCATTGAGCAGCTCACTTTGGGCTAGTGCACCCAGTCTCCTGAACAGGTTCTCTGGTCACAGTGAGCTTTTTCTAACCGTGTACCCTGAGCCTCGTTTTTGTGACGGCTGGTTTAAGAGAACAGTGTGCGCCTGTGAAATGTTGTTTACTTCTCAGGAAAAATGTCACAGAAACTGTTGTGTTGAACACAACTTACAAGGACAGCGCTATGGGGAAAACTCAAGTGTACAAGTGGTTTTCTTGTTTCAAAAAAGGTGAAGTATCAATTGATGACAAGCCTCATTCTTGATATCCGTTAACTTCCTGAACAGAAGAAAATGTGCACTCATAGTGCATAAGAGTGTGTGATAAAAAAGGCCTGATTTGTGGTAGACGGGGATGGGTTTTGCCACCATGACAATGTACCTGCTCACACAGTGTGCCAGTTTTTGGCAAACATCAGCATGTATCTTTTGCCCCACACAACTTACTCATCTGACTTCACCCCATGCGACTTCTTTTTGTTTCTGAGAATGAAGAGTGACATGTAAAGACTGTGATTTGACATCGTTGAGGAAAAAACGAGGGAGGTGCTGTTAGCTATCCATAGCCGAGTTTCAAATGTATTAAGTTTAATGGGGAGTACTTTGAAGGTGATAAGGCTGTTTAGTTAAAAAAAAAATATACATAGCTTTGAGGGTGGGGGGGATTGTGGGTTTGTTTAGGGTAGCCCTTCATATTTCTACCGTATCTGCCCCTCTTCATTTTTTAAATCACAGATTCATTTTTCCATCTGGAATAATTTCCCTTCAGAATAACTTTATCATTTCTTAGTATGCATCTGCTGGCAGCTAATTACTCTCAATTTTACCTGAAAACATATTTATTTTTACCTTACATTTTGAAGGATATTTTTACTAGATCTAGGTTAATGGTGTGTTTTTATTCCCTTACTGTAATGTGTGGGAATGTTTTTCCCCAACGTTTCCTTTTCACAAGGTCATTCTATTGTCGATGTCCATGTTTTTTAATAATGTGAGCCATTGTCTTTGCTATTGTTATGAATGAAATATATATTTTTTTATTTCTGAAATTTAAAATTTTAGATTTTAACTATTTGACCATGATGTGCGTGTGATTGCTTTTATATTTAACTTTATACATGTTCCTTTTGCTTCACTTCCTCTTGGCATTATTTTCTTTACTTCAGAGATTTTAATTATACATAAATTTAACCTGTACTGTTACCCTACAGTTTTCAGGTACTCTGTTCATTTTTTTTCTTTTCCAGTCCTTTTTCTCTGAGCTTCACTTTGGATAATTTTGATTGGCCTACTTTTGAATTCACTGATTGTTTCTTTTGCTGTATCCTCAGCTTCTTAGCACAGCCATTTCATTCTTAAGATTTAAATACATTTAAAAATAACTCCTTTTAAGTCATTGCTAAATGCAAAGTGAATTATCAGTGGATCTTAAGGCATTTCCTTAATTATGAGCTACATTTTTCTGATGCTTGTGTATAGAGTTTGTGGGTGTTTTTTTTTTAATGATACTTAATAGTGATCCCAAAGTTTTTTCTTCGTCAAAGGGCACTGAGTTTATTTGCTTGTTTGTTTTTTACCTGGCAGATATTTTAAATCAAGATCAGATCTCTTGAATTCTGTGGAAAATTTTTTGCCCTAAGTCCTGCATCATAACATTGCATGGTCCTCTGACTTCCTGATGGAAAACTCAGTGTGAGCCCCTTTAACGTTGTGAGAGAGGGGCTCTCGAATTCTTTCTTGCAGGTTAGGTTGCTGCTTACATTTCTGCTGATGTATTTAGCTTTCCAGTTGTTGCTTTCTATAGAATTTTTTTTTAATCTCTCATTTTTTCTACTGTTGAGTCAGTTATAACATCATTCTACACATGTAATTTAGGAAAGAGTGAGGATTTTAGATGCACATTTGGGGCTCCTTCTGGAAATTTCCCCACAACTACCTGGCAGCTTTATACTCCCAACCTAGTAAGACTCTTACTTTCGAGTTTAGCCCTATTCCCCTATGTTTTGGGTACACTGGAAAGTACCTTCTGGTAAAAAAAAAGTATTACATAGGGATCAGTTCTACCATGCTAATATTCCTATCCGGGTCTCATCACCTCCAGTTTCTACTCGCTCTTTGTTTTTCTCTGATGTCTTCAACTAGTCATTTTTAATAACTTTCCTAGAGTTCATAATTGTTATCTCTAGGAGGAGTACACTAATAGACTGCTATTTCCCAGACATTTAGAGACTTCCGCTGCTGTTAATTGCGACTCAGCGATACTGTTGGGCAAATTCAAATTGCTCCTTAGGGTTTTCTAGGCTGAGAATACTATTAGAAGCCTCCTCTTTCTCCCATGGAGTGTCTCTCATCCCAAACACTGAACACACTGTTCCAGGAGTGCTCCTGAGTTTTAAAAATAGTGTACAGTATTGTAGGGCTTTAAAAGATGTCATAAGTTGTTGAGTAATCACACTTCCTAAAGTATACATTTCTTGCACTAAAATTTTTGAGAAATAGTCTACAGCAAAATGAAAAAAAAATCAGTTTAACTCTTTTTAAGATGTGTACTCTGGGCATTTTTAAAAGATTTTTTTAAAGCGCAAAGTTAAAATTTGGAACATTTGATGTGCCTGTTTGATCTTTAAAATGTAATCATGGTGTTTATGATTTTAAAAAGAGATCCATATTCTTAGAGATAATAGTCTGAAATATTTTTTATATCGAGGGAATGAGTAGTGCCATAAATGGAACACAATTATCCTGTGTTGAAGCTGGGAGATTTGTACATTGAGCTCATCATGTTATCTTTTATACCTTTGTTTAAATTTAAAAAAATTATTTTACATACAGTTTAACAGGAAAAACAAACTTTCTGATAGATCTCTTTTACTTTTATTCCTAGAATGGTAGCGGAGTGGAGGCTGTCTCGAGGTGTTGAAGAACAGACACAAGCTTTCTTTGAGGGCTTTAATGAAATACTTCCTCAGCAGTATCTGCAGTACTTTGATGCAAAAGAACTAGAGGTAGCACATTTTGTTTTTTCATCTTTTCCTGTAGTATGCTGATAAATAATGCCTTCTCGTGCCATCAGTAATATTTTTGCTGTCAGAATGTTTTTGAGCATTCCAGTGTTTAAAAAGACGGACATCTCTATGATGAATGATGTATGACATTCCTCACATAGAAATTCAACTATGAGTAATGTAACTACAAGTCTTGACGCAGGTGACAAACTGAGACCTCCTGAATAGTGTTTTTTGCTCTTGCATTTTTAGTAATTTGTGTATTTTGTAGCTGTGTTTAATTTTAATACTTATGTACATTTTCACCCTTTTTTCATTTTTATATAGGCTTTAGAATTACAAATTGTCCATTTTCCTCCCTACAGGTTCTTTTATGTGGAATGCAGGAAATTGATTTGAATGATTGGCAGAGACATGCCATCTACCGTCATTACACAAGGACAAGCAAGCAAATCATATGGTTCTGGCAGGTTTGTTAATCTGTTTCTTTCTCTTTTTTGTTAATTATGCAAAGGCATTCGACTGTTTGGATCAAAGCAAATTATCGGTAACATGACAAAGAATGAGAATTCCAGAACACTGAATTATGCTCCTTTGAAAATTGAAAATAAACAGTTTGAGTAATTATTTTTACAAAGAAAAGTCATTTCATAAAGATTTTTCAGCTTATTAGAATTAGCATAACTATTTTCAGTCGTGAACTGAAGCTTTTTCTTTGATGGGTAATATTTTGCTTCAGTTTCTTCCAGAAGCAGTTGTCTCAACGTGAGTGTAGTCAATATTGATTTGGAAGGTTGGTGTAAAAGTCTTTATGGATATGGTAAAAATTATATATAATAAAGTTTCCATTTTTCAATATTTTAAATTGTGTGGTTTGGTGACATTATATTCACCACATCGTACAACCATAACCACAATCAATTTTCAACTTTTTATCACCCCAAACAGAAACTGCACCAATTAACAGGTAGCTCTCCACTCTCCTTTTCCCCAACTCCTGGCAACTACTTATCTACTATTGTCTCTATGCATTTGTCCTTTTGAGATACCTTACATAATAGGATCATAAAGTATTTATCCTCCTGTTCCTGATTTATTTTAATTAGCATAATATTTTCGAGCTTTCATCTCAACAATTGTTAATCTGTTTCTATTGGAAGACATGTTTTTTAGAACTATATGTCACATAGAAAATGAATCACAACAAAATGTATGAATGTACACTGGCAGCACAACCCCTACTATGTATTACATAAATAAATTATACTGATTTTAATAGCCTCTTAAGATTGTTGCCAAGTAAGCAAACACACTTTCTCCTTATGTCCAAAATATGACAGTGCCCCAAAAGACACAATGCACCTACTTAATCTAAATGATTTAGAAATAATTAGAAGTGTCTAACTAGAAGTGTGGGATTCATCATTCATACCTCATTAAGAGTTAGGTAATGTTAACAAGGGAAAATTTAGATCTAGTTTGCATTCACTTAAGTAACTCAAAAGATAAACTGAACTTCTTTAACAAATAGGGTTAGCATTTTAAAAATAATAGTAGTTTAGTAGAATAAAAATTGTTCTTTACAAAAATATCTGACAGCCAAAAGAATTGTGCTATAGAAGTGCGCTGTAGCTTAGAACGCGTCTTCTAGAAACCTAATATTTGAGTCAAAGTGGTAAAAGCCACATAAACCCAACTGTTCCTGCCTGTCCCCAAACCTCAAGGACAATGAAGGAAGGTTGGATATGGGTTAGCAGTCTATAGATTTGATTTGTTTATGCACCAAAAGTCCATTCTGAATGTCCTATTGGACCGATAGTCTTTGTTTGCTTGAGCAGCACATACACTAAAATTGGGCCAATAGTCTAAGGAGTGAAGAGAAGAGCTAATGTTGAGACTGCATGAGAAGGCTGCTCTTGGGCCTGGTGTCCTTCTTTAGCCTCTTGTAAGGGTGTGGTCCTAAGATATGCGTAGGGAAAGGCTGGTGGGGCTTGGACAAACAGTGTTAGGTGCCATTATATCTAGAGTAGTTTACCTGACACCAGGGCGTCTGTTTTAAATTTGAAATGTTATCTCTTTCTGGTTTAATATGGTAAACATATGACCTCTTAAAATGTACTTTTCATAGCTTGTTAAAGAAATCGATAATGAAAAGAGAATGAGACTTCTGCAGTTTGTTACTGGAACCTGTCGATTGCCAGTGGGAGGATTTGCTGACCTCATGGGTATGTACACAGGATCACCTTTCCTATGGAGACACGTGTTTATTCCACTGCTGTGCTAATGAACATTACAGAACTAACAGACAAGTAGAAACTGTTTGAACCACGGGCTATCGCTCACATTTCAATTTCTGTAACATTTCCTGTTACTTTGCAATTACTGCAGTACCTGTGAGTGATTAAGCTATGTTGTATTAAAGTGACTATGAGAATATTTATTTTGTGACGTTAAAAATAAGTAAATTCATAAACAGTCACGGAAACCCACACGGTTAAATATATATATTTATATATATAATACTATATATATAAAAATAAATATATATAGTATTACAAGCGAAGGCATAGCAGAAATAAAAGCAGTAAGACATCCTTGTATCACTTGCAGAGCTAAAACAGAGTTTCCATGTTATCAAAACAAAGTAATTTGGATATTAATTGGAGGATAGTGGAAGCTATGAAAACAGCTTTGAACAGAATTGCTAAAGCAGCACTTTAGGAAGACTTCATAGCAAGGTATAAATTGGGTAGATTAAAAGATGTGGAGAGTCTGGAGATAGAAATAAATTATTACAGCATGATGAGATCCTGATCTTAGGAAATGAAGTGGAAACTAAAAAGAATAAATACTGGGAAAGTTCTATAGGAAGAAATAAGTAAAAAATAATACTTGGTTTGGAAAATGGGTGGCATATAAAGGAGGACTGTCCAAGAGAACTCCCAAGTTACGAGACAGAAAGGGTGCAGGGGAGGAGGAGATCTCAGATCCTACTCAGAGTTCAAGGTGAATGCAGACCAGTAGAAAGTCCCAGGGGGCAGTTGTATAGTTGGGACTAATGTACCAGTAAGAGGTCGTGGGAAATGTTATAGACATCATAACAGCAGTGACTTGAAGCTGTGGGAAGGAGTTCTTTTGTACACAATAGAAGACAAGAGTACAGCATGTTTGCTTACACACATCTAATTTAGATATTTGCCAGGAGTATCCTGGAGACTTCAGAGTAAAGAAGAGATAATAAAGTAGTATAGTCTTTCAGAAGCTAATATACATAGACGGGAATTTTGTACCCAGTACTGTACTATAGAAGTCCTAGAGAGGGGACAATGAATGTACAAATGCGCTTTACACAAGTGATGTATGTATGGATTGTGATAAGAGTTGTATGAGCCCCCAATAAAATGATTTTTAAAAATAAAGTGGTAAAAAATTTTTAAAAAAGAAGTCCTAGAGAAGACAGTTTCTGAAGATGATGAATACACTTTAATTTGAGGAAGGACAAAAAGAAAACAAAACATTTATTTTGGAGGTTAGGGAGGAAAATAGCAGTGAAAAAAATTGGTACAAGTGTCTCAATACTAACTGTAAATCTAATCACTGAAAAGACAAAAACTAGATCTGCTCTTTTAAATAGTAATTGGGGTTGAATAAGGCTGTCTAAGCACACACAGAAGGTTACTGCTGAAAAGTAGAGCCAAGGTGATTTCAGACTTTAAAAGGCCTCTGGTTTAACCTTCCACCCAGTGAAAAGTCAAGACTAATGCTTATAATTCTTTGTGATTTTCTATGAAACTGATAGACGAAATAACTTCTAGGTTTCTTTTTTTTTTTTTTTAATCATTTTATTGGGGGAACTTCTAGGGTTTCTGAGTCCTGTTGGTGTAGTGGTTACGTGTTGAGCTGCGATCTTTAATAGTCAGTAGTTGGAAACCTCTCGTAGCTCACGCCCAGCTTTGTACTCACATAAAACAGTCAAGAGTGTCGGAAAACCACAAGGGAAGCACTATGAGTCAACATTGACTTGATGGGAGGGAGAGGTTATAGATTCTAAAGTATGTAGCCTAAGGTAGGGGGAGAAAAGGGGAACCAGTCACAATGATCTATGTATAAACACTACCCCAACCCCCACCCCCGGGTGATGAACAACAGAAATATGGGTGAAGTGAGACAGCAGATGGTGTAAGATACGAAAATAATAATTTATAATTTATCAAGGGTTCATGAGGGTAGGATGGTTGGGAGAGGGGAAAAAAGCTAATACTAAGGGCTCAAGTAGAAGGAAAATGTGCTTGACTCAACGGATGTATTGTTGTAAGAGCTGTAAGTGTTCTCAATAAAATGATTTATTAAAATAAAAGAAAATATGTGGCCTAATTATAAAACAAAGGAGAAATTAATAATTTGTAATGAAATTTATTTCGGTACATGACTATTTGGGAACAGCTATACTAGAAGATATAATCAAGTAAACAGATACTTATTCCTGCTTATTATGAAAATGTTTGAGTTTAAGATAAGATCATAGCCATTCTGTGTAAAAGTAAGAAAACTAGAAAATAGCAGACCTATAAAATGAATTAAAGAAAATAGACCTAAGTATTTATATAACAGACTTAAATATTGATAATGGGAGTATGTAGCATGAATGAAGTAGGAATACTACATCTGCCAAAATAAATCATAAACTGTCAAAGAGAAGAAAAATTAGGTAATATATGTTTAAAAGGGTAGGGTCAAAATAACTCCCAGTGCTGTGATACTGGTTTGGAGTAGTGATGAATGCATACAAGTATGTTATAAAATGCATTGTCATAAATCAAGACTTTAAAAGGCCTAGAGGCCATATCACTTGAAAGGTGGCTGAGAATAGAAATATAGATCAACTGTCCACACAGAAGCTATGTGATAGACTGGTGATTCTCAACCTGTGGGTTGTGACCCCTTTGGGGTCGCCTGATTCATGACAGTAGCAGAATTACAGTGAGGAAGTAGCAACGAAAATCATTGTATGATTGGGGGATCAGCACAACATGAGGAACTATATGAAAGGGTCGTGGCATTAGGAAGGTTGAGAACCACTGTAATAGACCTTTAGAGACAGTGTTGGAGTAAGACTGAAAACACAAAGCCTAAAAAATAATTTCACAGGGGGCGAAGTAGCAACGATGAAAAATACAACTTTCCTCTAGTTCCTAAATGTTTCCTCCCCGCTCCCACTACCATGACTCGAATTCTACCTAGCAAGTCTGGCTAGACCAGAGGATGTACTACACTGGTACAGATAGGAACTGGAAATACAGGGAGTCCAGGGCAGATGATCCCTACAGGACCAGTGGTGTGAGTGGGAGGGTAGAGGGAGAATGGGTTGGAAAGAGGGAACCGATTACAAGGAACTATATGTGACCTCCTCCCTGGGGGATGGACAACAGAAAAGTGGGTGAAGGGAGATGTCAGACAGGGCAAGATATGACAAAATAATAATTTATAAATTATCAAGGGCTCATGAGGGAGGGGGAGGGAGGGAAAAAATGAGGACCTAATGCCCAGGGGTGCTTAAGTGGAGAGGAAGTGTTTTGAGAATGATGAGGGCAATGAATGTACAAATGTGCTTTACACAATTGATGTATGTATGGATTGTGATAAGAGTTGTATGAGCCCCTAATAAAATGATTAAAAAATAATAATTTCAGTATATAATTTTTTACAACTAGTTTTAAAATGATTTTATGCTCCATAATATTTTTGGAAGTATTAAGAATGATAATCGATGTATTTGTAAAACAGCCTTATTAATGAAATCCTATAAATTCATTTCCTTTCATAATGTTTCTGATATTTAATATCTGATTTTAAGTCTGTTAAAACCAGAAGCATCTCTGTTAATAGTCACACTTTTGAATTAAACTCCTTTTCAACTGTATGGTTAAAGAAGTATCAAGTAGAGAGAATTAATTATTAAATATTTTCAAGCGTTATTAATCATTTTAAACTTCATACTGAAGAAATAATAAACTCTTATGCTATTGGACTTTTTACATAACTGTTTAAAACACACAAACCCTTGGAAGAAAGACCTACTTTGAAAATAATGAACAGTTCCTTTGACACACGAGGTAGCTATTGAGTTGATTTACTGGCATTTAGCTTCCACTTTAAAAGATTTTAACAATTCTCTACCTAAATCAAGTATTTTTGTGTAAGAGTGGATTTTGGTTTCGCTGTTGTGTTTACACCTACTAAATTATAGTTTTTGTGTGTTCTCTATAAGTTACTAATAATCATTGTATTGGATTCTAGCTGTGGAATGGTGTCTAAAGCTTCATTTTCTTACCTTGGCTGTGCTTTAAGCTAATGCATCATTCTAAAATTCAGCGCCTAACAGAATTAACCCGGCACCACCCTCAGAGTTTCCAACTCAATAATTTAAAGTGAGCTTTCTCATTCTAAGAAATTCCTTATGATGCTGATACTACTGGATTAGGAACCACAGTTTGAAAACCACTGGGTTGACCTAACTACAGTTTATTTTTTATTTCTATATATTTATAGGAAGCAATGGACCACAGAAGTTTTGCATTGAAAAAGTGGGGAAAGAAAACTGGTTACCCAGAAGTCATACTTGGTAAGTAAATTTAGAAAGTGAAAGTAGAAAGCCCTTTTCCAGATACCCTATAGGTATTAAAACTTGTTAGATATTAGAAATCAAATATATTTAACAGTATCAATTTATTTTTAACTGCTTTATTGAGGCTTCCTTTATATATTGGAGTCCTGGTGGCATAGTGGTTACACATAGGACTGCTGCCTGCAAGGCCAGTTTTGAAACTACCAGCTACTCTGAGGGAGAGGGGGGAAGCTTTCTACTCCCATCCAAGAGTTAGTCTTGGCCACCCCCAGGGGCTCTTCTATCCGGTCAGAATTGATTTACTGACAGCGAGTTTGGGTTTGTTTAGATATTTACCTATTTTACATATATAATTCAGTGATTTGTAGATCTACAGAGTAGTACAACCATCATCACAATCCACTTAGAGCATTTTATCACTCCAAATGATACCTTGTCCTCATTGCCAGTGATTCTTGTTTTTTTAGCCCTGAATTTTTTAAAATGTGGCATGTGGAAAATTAACTTTTTTCTGAATGCAGCGAGGAAATCAAAGTTGAAATTAGCTGTTAGAATTACTTTATTGAATAAGCAAATGTGGTGAAGAAGAACAAATCAGCCTGTGTGATCGCGAGGTGTCGAAGGGATCACTGAAGACAAATGGGCACATAAGCAAATGTGGAGAAGAAAGCTGATGGTGCCCTTCTATCAAAAAGTAGTGTCTGGGGTTTTAAAGGCTTGAAGGTAATCAAGTGGCCATCAAGCTCAGAAGCAACAAAGCCCACATGGAAGCAGCACACCAGCCCATGCTATCAGACGGTGTTGAAGGGATCAGGCATAAGGCATCATCAGAACAAAAAATCTTACCATTGTGAATGATGGGGGGAGTGCGGAGTGCAGACCCAAAGCCCATTAGTAGACCACTGGAGATCCCAATGCAGAGGGGTCTTGGGGAGGAGGCGAGCCAGTCAGGGTGCGATGTAGCAACAACGAAGAATGCAACTTTCCTCTAGTTCCTAAATGTTTCCTCCCCGCTCCCATTATCATGACTCTAATTCTACCTAGCAAGTCTGGCTAGACCAGAGGAGGTACTCTGGTACAGATAGGCACTGGAAATACAGGGAATCCAGGGCAGATGATCCCTACAGGACCAGTGGTGTGAGTGG